ATCATTAGATATTAAAATATTATAATTTTTCTATAATATTTTATAGCCAATTTATACCTATGCTTTAAGGGATAATGGTATTTAGATCATATAGTAATACCTAGATTATATAGTGATAATATAATCTAAAGCAAGTGGAATATCACTATGTAATATAATTATATTACATAGTAGTATTCCACTTATAGCTCAATTTCGTATTAATATTAATCAAACTGAAAATAAAAAGAAAAGAAAACGTGATTCTAAAAAATTACAAGTTAATACAATATTACCAATTATAGAATCAAATAATTAACAAATTGAAGATACAATTAATACAACTAATTATATAACTACAGAAGAAGATTGGAATAAAAGATTAAAAGAATGATATGAATTATTAGATGATGAAGAAGATACACAATCTTTGATTAGTGATGATATATTATTAAATAATAATGAATCTAATAATAATTTATTAAGTTTATATATTCATGCTGCTATTGATATTAATGCAAAATGGAATTTACATGATCTTTTTATTAGAGAATTAAAGAAGCCAGAATTTATATCTACATTATCTGAATTTAATTAGTTATATTATATTTTTTCTATTTATACATAATTTTAATATTATAATAATAATTAATAAATATAAATAATATCATCATTTTAATTTAACTTTTTTCTTTTTTTTTATTTAATAATAAAATTTTAATTATATATATAATTATTCAAAACCTGTCCAAAACCTATTCAATTAAAATAAGTTTTAGTTTTAGATATATTTTGAACGGAGTTTTGAACATGTGTTTAAAATATCAAATTGTCTAAATGTCTAACATTATTATAAGTATATTTATAAATTACGTAATATTAAAAATTTTAAAAAATAATAATTACTTAGTAATAAAAGAATCAAGATTTTAAATAGCTTAAAATTCATATAATAATACTAAAATGCTTAATAAAGTAACAAATAATATAAGTATTTTCTAATATAAATTAATATTTAAATAAATATTTTATTTTTAAAAAAACTTTGTAATTTCAAGAAAAAAAATGTAATTAAAAAATATAAAAATTATTTTATTTTAATTTTATATTTATAGAAATTTATTTTTAAATTATTATTTAGAATTATTTTTAAATTATTTATGTAAAATTATTTTTGTTTTAAATTTTTTTTACTTTTTTTTTTTTTAGTTTTATTATAAATATATATAAATATATAGGATTTTTTGATTATATATTATTTTTTAGTTTTGATTATTTTATATATTAATAAATATATATTAATATAATAGTAAACTTAAATACAATTAATAATTATAAAAGAAATAGATAACTATTTTTAAACATAAATTAAAGTTTTACATAAATCAGTTTAGTTTGATTTGTTATTATTTAAATTAAACTAAGTTAAAATATTTTGTAAGCTAATTTAATTGGTTTATATTTTTTTTTAAAACTATTCCAAAAGTAAAATTTTACAAAAAAATCATTTTGAAAGCAAAATTTTACAAGAAATTATTCTAAAAGTAAAATTCTTTAAAAAAATTACTTTAAAAGTGAAAATCTACAAAAAAATCACTTTAAAAGTAAAATTCTTCAATAAAATTATTTCAAAAATAAATTTTTTAAAAAAATTCAGTTTTAAATACATTTTTTTAAAAAAAATATTATTTAATATATTTTTTTTAAATCAAATTCATTTTTTTTAAAAAAACATTATAAAATGTGTTTTTTTAAAGAAAATATTACTAAATATATTTTCTTCAAAAAAATGTTATTAGATATAATTTTTTTAAAAGAAATATTACTAGGATTATTTTTTTTTAAGAAAAAGCCATCAAAATAACTTTATTTTAAAAAAAACCTTTTTTTCAAAAAAGAAAATGCAAGCTAATAAGTTAAGTTATATCACAAGTTGAGTTATAACATAAACTAGCTTATCTAGCTTGTAGTTTATTTATAGTAATTAGAGTTAAGCTTAGATAAATTAGCTTATTTAGTTTGCAAGTAGTTTTGTTATATGAAACTTTATATGAGATCATATATTAAAATAATGTTGACTTTTAGCTATTAGTTATTTGACCAATTTAGTTAATTAAAATAATAAAAATATTTTAATCAGGTGTTCTTAACCTATGAAGGAGGTGTAAACCCTTATTGTCTAACCTCATGTATAAATAAATATTTTTAAAGTATATATCACGTGACATATACAGTTTCAGTTTAGAATAAAGGTCTATAATCCTTTCTTAGGTTAAGGATGCCCATTTTAATCATAGCTAAATATTAATTAATTATAATATAATCAACTTTTGTAAATATATTATTTATAAAATATACATTTTTTTTAAACATATTTCTTAATTTGATCACAAGTTAAAAAATTAATATTATATGTATCTTTATTATTTATATTATATAATAAAATTTTCTGATCTATTTATATTAAAAACTCATTTACATAATTATAAATTTAGGTTGAAATTAATAATTAATATATAAATTATTAGGTTAATTTAATAATAAATAAATTTAAACCAGATTTATATTATTTTATATAAAATAAACATTTATATTTATCTTTTCTCCAAAAAATTTCCTGTAATTTTTTATTACTATATCTTATATAAATCAAATAAAATTATTATGTTTTTTAAAAAATTCACAAATAAGATATGATTATAATATTATTTTATTGATTCTTTAAATTTGATAATAAATATTAAGAGTAAAGTTTTATTTTTAATTGTAAAAAAGTTTATTTAAATTTAAATATATTAAAATTATAGCTTATATTATTTATTATTAAATCTATTAATAAAAAATAAATAATTTTAAATTAAAAAATAATTTTTATCATATATCACACTGGTCAAAATCAAAAAATTGAACATGCGAAAAATCAGCCTAAATTTGGCCTAAATTTGGCAAATTATCAAAAAATCAGCCTAGCCAATTGGCATACTTATTTCTGATTGGCATACGTCAAAAATTGGCTATAATTTGACCTATCTTATTTATAGCTGATTGACATTTGATTTACATCCGATTAATATACATCAAAAATAGACTAAAATATTTCAAAATAAAATAAAATTCAGAAGGAAATATAACTGATATTTAGGATTAACAGCTAAATAATACTAAAAACATTTAATTTATTTTTACAAATGGTATTTTCTATTAATTAGATTAATAGCCAAATATTCTTTTACATTTTATTAAGCTAAAATTTGATAGTTAATCAGTACAAATTGATCCAAAATATAATGAACTAGTATTATACAATCACGATTTTCCAGATAAAATTTGGTATTCTATAATTTGACATTATATGTTTTTTCTTTGCTAAAATAATACCACATATTTGGAGAACTTGTAGATTTATACGAATGAACAAATGCTAGAAAATGTTCAATCTTTTCAGATAACAAATCAACCTTATGTGTAAAATAATATTGGATTTGGCCAGGATAACAATTGACAGTACTATCATTTGTAATAAATTTGGCCAAAATGTACGAATTTTTTACATATCATAAAGATATTGACGATCCAAAGATTTTAGAACTAATTTGACACCTTCCAAATTGATTTATTTTGACTTGAATCATTATACTATCTTCTGAATCCTTATCGAATAGCTTCTTAAAATCAAATGTGATATAAGTCACATTGTAGTATTAAACTATCAAATCAAGCATTTCACTTAAAATAATTATATTATCAGATGATAGTTTAAGAAATTCACCAGAAAATAGTTCACTACTAGTAACATTTGATTCTTTAATATTTTATGAATTCATCTAAAATTGATGGATTTCATCAGAAGAAAATTCATCTGTATCTGAAAGGGAACCAATTGAAGGCTAATTGTCTAGCAATTCAAGTCCTTTTACCTCAATATTATCAGAACTTGTAATACTATCAATTTGAATATCAAACATCATTTGACGTATTAGCCCAGGTTTAATTTTTCTATTACTATTTAGTAAAGAACCTAAAAATCTTTCATAAATTAGTAAGCCGATTTATTTAAGAAATTCTTAAAAAAAATACCTAATATTCCATTCATGCATTCAAAAGAAAAATACCAGAATGCATATAACGGACTATAGTCTCTTAAACAATTATACAAATGGAGAGAAAGGTGAAGATTTGGTGTGATTTTATTACACCTGTGATTATTTTCAATCAACTTCACCATCTCAATTAGTCTTCGATATACTTTATGTAATAAATCTGATTTTATAATCCAGCTTACTAAAATTGTACAAATTCTTATGAAATGTGTAAGAATTTTTCTATCTACAATCGAAAGATATTCTTAAAGTGAAACAGTAGCATATATAGTGAAAATATTCACTACTGATTGGCTGTAAAATTAAAAAATTCTTCTCCTTCATGAATTTACCTAGAATTCGATTCAGATCAAAAGGAATCTGAAACTCATTCATCTTTTTCTAAATCTTATTTAGAAAATTTGATATCAAAATCCCTTTATTGATCCAGATTTGTTTTACTATTCATTGTGCAATGTCTAAAAAATAGGTAATGCATTAGATCAATTATGATATATTTTATAGGTTAAAATATAGCAAACGTAATAATTCAGACCATCTTACGCCACTTTGCTTTACAAATCATTTTTATGAAACATCTGAATTGCAGTATCTCTATTCTAACGCATTTCGACAATACTCAATTAGATCTTGCATAATGAACCAATCATCAATATTATCCATTCTGGAAAATTATGCTGATGATTTTCATAATTTGCCTTCTTTTCGCATCTATGATATGATACTAAGGCCAAAATATGTCCACATATTTTTTTAGTAGTTGGTATATCACATGAAACAAGAATTAAAGCTGCACGAATATTCTTTCCTTCAAGATATTCATATATTTTAACTATTGTAAATCTATCCTAAAGTAATTCCAATTCATCTACAATCAATGCTAAATAGTAATTTATTTTATGTAAACTGACTTCGCTTAATCCAGGTAAAAGACCAAGAGTTAGTAAATTTTCACGTTTAAATCAGATATAATGAGGCAAATTGCATATAGCGACATATATTACTCTGATACTATAAATAGTATCACTATATAACTAGAACCAGTCAAGATTTAGCATTAATCCAAGATGAGAATCAGCTATTTTATTTTGAAAAAAATTTGCTGAATCTTCTTGTGAAGATTCTTTTAACGTTTGTTATATTTCACCATTACAGTCAACTCTTTCTACAACGAATTTTGATATAACGAATTTTACAATACAACGGATTTTCATTGTCGGACAG